CTCTTCGAACAGCTCGCCGGCGTAACTCTCGAGGTTCATGCTGGCACACAAATACCTGGCAGCCGTGAAATGAACGACTGCGGCTGAGCCGTCGGCAGGGTCGACCAGAAGGGACTCCCAGTCGACGCGCTGCATGTCGGAGTCCGTTTGAGCCACATGTATTGACGGACCCCTGCCTCTCCCGTCGCCTTGGGGGCATTCGCGTCGGAAATGTAGTGCACTGTGGCATATGCCGCACTCCGAAATTTTACCGTTGGCATCCTTCGGGTTCCCTCGTCGCCCTTTACGTTTGCCTGGCGCATGCCTACGGTTCCTGCCAGCACCTAAAAACATTTCTTCGTACTGGGGCCCAGTGAGAGATGCTAGGGATGCTAGTATGCCTCTACCGTTTAGTCGCCGGCGCTTACCTTTGCCTTTACTTCGACCCTTGCCTTTTTCCTTTGAGTGCCTGCCGTACCATGCGTCTTACCCTTCTGACTGATGTCTTCATGAATATCCCAAACACAAGCACTGAACTTGCTGCTCTTCAGTAAGGTCTGTAGGCATATCAGAGTAGTCCAGCGCGGTAGTTTAATCATCAAAAGACGCATCGGCATCGGCACCTGAGTCGAAGTCGGACTCGGCGGGTTGCCCCGCAGAGCCCATTAGGGTCATAGCTTGCACAGGGGAGACCGCGTCGGGTGGCCACCTAGATCTGGGTCTTGAGACCCCGAGGCAGTACCGCCATTCTGGGCCAACAATGTAGTGGTCTCAGACGGCGGCATATCATCGTTCCAGACGTTGTTAGCAGGTTGCCCTGCATTGGCCTCTGTATGGAAGGTCTCGGTTCGGTGACCGTGACTTAAAATACCACCGATATTGCCAGGCGTTCTCTCAGCTATGTAAGCATGCCTCATACGTTTGAGGAGAGCATCAAATTGTGCTTGGTCCCTCGGCATATGGTGGTTCAGAGGCTGCAGGAGCTGCTGTGCCCGCGACGTCCCCACTCCCAGAGCTCTGAATCATACTAATGTGAATATCTGGAAGTTGGGGATGTTGAAGCCGGCGGCTTTTGCTTCGTAGCGGGCTATCTCGAACCGTGCTAACGCCCGGTCGATTCTTTCTCCCGCATGGACACGAAAGTCAATGAGAGCCGCGCCAGAGTTGAATTGGCGTTCCTCTTCTAGGTTCTCGAACCTCGTACTTAAGAGGAACATAATGTAGGTGACGCCGACGGTGTGGAGACCACCTATGTTGACACCAAAGCTGATGACTGCTGGGGGAACTCTCATGGCTATGGGCCGTGCGAGCCCGCCAAGACCGCGCTGGAGCGCGGCGGCCTGTTGGGAGGGCGTCATGTTGCCTGTGGTCACGTTGATCCAGGTGTGTACCTCGCGGACAAACTCGCGAAATGGCACTTGACCGGCAGGATCCCAATGGGGGCCGGTCGTCCTAGTGTCGTCTCCGCCCCGCATATGTCCCACCGCACATCCAAGAGCGACCCATACGAGCCCAAAGATAGAGCAACTCCAATCCAATGGCCTCGTAGGTTGTAGTCGGGTGTAGTCGGTGGAGACTCGTGTTTTGTCGTCGTAAGTCTGCGAGGGGTCGGAGGCGGCAGTATATCGTATCGCATGTTTCCATGCATTATATCTTCGAAGAAATTTCCAATTGGAGTAGGTGGGTGGACTTCAGGAGTGTAATAGCGCAGGGATGTAGAATATGAGTGAGTAAGAGACCTCCGCTGGAGCAGAGGTGTCGCTGCAAGTTTCCTTGCGGTATTGCGTATCTATCTACACTCCTCCACGCAATGCCAGTGCACCCTGATGTTCCACCGTAGCTGTAGTCCACCACATAGTGCCGTGGATGGTGAGGATTAGAGCTAGAGCTGACCACTATAGGCCAGCTCCGCTACCAAATTTGAAGGGGCTGGGAGGCCCCGCCAACAGCTTCGCCTCAGGCGAAACCAAACTCCAGCTCGGATGTAACGATAGTCCCAATGCAGGAGGGGATGCCATGTCAAGTGAGAGAGTGCTTGGTTTTCCCGGCGAGTCGTACTAGTACGCCGAAGTACGCCTACTAGTACGCCCCGGCGGGTCGTACTAGTACGCCGAAGTACGCCTACTAGTACGACCCGCTGCGGTCGGGAGGCGTACTCGTAGGGCCGAAGTACGTCTACTAGTACGACCCGGCGGGTCGTACTAGTACGGCTAAGTACGCCTACTAGTAGTACGACCCGCTGCGGTCGGGAGGCGTACTCGTAGGGCCGAAGTACGCCTACTAGTACGCCCCGGCGGGTCGTACTACTACGGCTAAGTACGCCTACTAGTACGACCCGCTGCGGTCGGGAGGCGTACTCGTAGGGCCGAAGTACGCCTACTAGTACGACCCGGCGGGTCGTACTAGTACGGCTAAGTACGCCTACTAGTACGACCCGCTGCGGTCGGGAGGCGTACTCGTAGGGCCGAAGTACGCCTACTAGTACGACCCGCGGGTCGTACTAGTACGGCTAAGTACGCCTACTAGTACGACCCGCTGCGGTCGGGAGGCGTACTCGTAGGGCCGAAGTACGCCTACTAGTACGACTCCGCGGGTCGTACTAGTACGGCTAAGTACGCCTACTAGTACGACCCGCTGCGGTCGGGAGGCGAACCCGTAGGGCCGAAGTACGCCTACTAGTACGACTCCGCGGGTCGTACTAGTACGGCTAAGTACGCCTACTAGTACGACCCGCTGCGGTCGGGAGGCGAACCCGTAGGGCCGAAGTACGCCTACTAGTACGACTCCGCGGGTCGTACTAGTACGGCTAAGTACGCCTACTAGTACGACCCGCGGCGCTCGGGAGGCGAACCCGTAGGGCCAAAGTACGCCTACTAGTACGACTCCGCGGGTTGTACTAGTACGGCTAAGCAGGCCAAAGTAGCCCTACCAGTACGCCCCCGCCAACCCCCCGGGGCCGTACTAGTAGGCCAAAGTAGCCCTTCTAGTAGCCCTCGCCGGGGCGGAATTTCGAGGATGTCTCGAGCGGGGGGCCTCCCCCCCGGACGTACTAGTAGGCCAAAGTAGCCCTACTAGTACCCCGCCGCCAGCCCCTCGAGACCGTACTAGTAGACCAAAGTAGCCCTACTAGTAGCCACGGCGGGGCGGACTTTCGAGGAAGTCTCGAGCGGAGGCCCTCTCCGCCGATCGAACTAGTACGCCAAAGTAGCCCTACTAGTACGCCCCCGCCAGGCCCCCGGGGACCCGTACTAGTAGGGCTACTTCGTGCCTACGCCTCGCCGGAGCGGACATTCAAGGATGTCTCGAGCGGGAGCCCTCTCCGCCGGTCGTACTTGTAGACCAAAGTAGCCCTACTAGTACGCCTCCGCCAGCCCTCCGGTGCCCGTACTAGTAGGCGAAAATAGCCCTACTAGTAGGCCCGCCGGGACGGACTTTCGAGCATGTCTCGAGCGGGGGGCCTCTCCGCCGGTCGTACTAATAACCAAAAGTAGCCCTATTAGTACGCCCCCGCCAGCCAGTCGTACTAGTAGGCCAAAGTAGCCCTACTAGTAAGCCCCCGGCAGCCCCCCGGGGCCCGTACTAGTAGGCTCAAGTAGCCCTACTAGTAGCCCCGGCGGGGCGGACATTCGAGGATGTCTCGAGCGGTGGGCCTCTCCGCCGGTCGTACTAGTAGGCCAAACTAGCCCTACTAGTACGCCCCCGCCAACCCCGGGGCCGTACTACTAGGCCAAAGTAGCTCTAGTAGTAGCCCCGGCGGGGCGGACATTCGAGGATGTCTCGAGCGGGGAGCCTCTCCGCCGGTCGTACTAGTAGGCCAAAGTAGCCCTACTAGTACGCCCCCGCCAGCCCCCGGGGCCGTACTAGTAGGCCAAAGTAGCCCTACTAGTAGCCCTGCCGGGGCGGAATTTCGAGGATGTCTCGAGCGGGGGGCCTCTCCGCCGGTCGTACTAGTAGGCCAAAGTAGCTCTACTAGTACGCCCCCGCCAGCCCCCCGGGGCCGTACTAGTAGGCCAAAGTAGCCCTACTAGTAGCCCCGGCGGGGCGGACATTCGAGGATGTCTCGAGCGGGGGGCCTCTCCGCCGGTCGTACTAGTAGGCCAAAGTAGCCCTACTAGTACGCCCCCGCCAGCCCCCCGGGGCCGTACTAGTAGGCCAAAGTAGCCCTACTAGTAGCCCCGGCGGGGCGGACATTCGAGGATGTCTCGAGCGGGGGGCCTCTCCGCCGGTCGTACTAGTAGGCCAAAGTAGCCCTACTAGTACGCCCCCGCCAGCCCCCCGGGGCCCGTACTAGTAGGGCTACTTCGACCCTACTAGTAGCCCCGCCGGGGCGGACTTTCGAGCATGTCTCGAGCGGGGGCCCCCTCCGCCGGTCGCACTACTAGGCCAAAGTAGCCCTACTAGTACGCCCCCGCCAGCTCTCCTGGGCCGTACGAGTACGCCAGAGTAGCTCTACTAGTAGCCCCGCCGGGGCGGACCTTCGAGGATGTCTCGAGCGGCGGGCCTCTCCGCCGGTCGTACTAGTAGGCCAAAGTAACCCTACTAGTACGCCCCCGCCAGCCCCCCGGGGCCCGTACTAGTAGGGCTACTTCGTCCCTACTAGTAGCCCCGGCGGGGCGGACTTTCGAGCATGTCTCGAGCGGGGGGCCCCTCCGCCGGTCGTACTAGTAGGTCAAAGTAGCCCTACTAGTACGCCCCCGCCAGCTCTCCTGGGCCGTACGAGTACGCCAGAGTAGCCCTACTAGTGGCCACGCCGGAACGGGTTTCCGAGAATGTTTCGAGTGGGATTCCCTTCCGCCGACCGTACTAGTAGTAGGCTCAAGTGGCTCTACTAGAATACTCCGGCCTAAACCCTCCTACCCATTCCCTCTGCTCCCTCCTCCCTCTCTCTCTGTCTCTCTCTCTCTCTCTGTCTCTCTCTCTCTCTCTGTGTGTATTCCTCAGAACCATCTCTATCGGGGAGCTCATACTGGAACCAGCAACCCCGCCATAACATAAACATGTTGCTGGGAAGCCCCCCCCACTCGCCATACCCGCTTGCGCGCGTCGCCGAGAGCCGGACCATGCGGACGCCTCATATACACTGGAAGATTATCCGAGAAAACTGTCGCCATGCCGGCAATCAAATCCGTGATTCGCGAATTCTCGCTCCACCCCGTCAGGTGCGGCACCGAGATCCTGCCGTCCGCATCGACGCCCGGATGCAACTGCACCAAGCCCATAGCCCCCGATGGCGCCACGAAACAGCGCGGCGGAACTCCTGGGTACAACGAGCCGAACGACACGCCGACAGGTACATGGTAGACGCCGCCTTGGTAATGGATGCGCAAGACTCCGCTCAGGTAAAACTCTGCCTCCGTTCCCCCGGTGCCTCCGATCATCTTCGCCCCAGAGGCCAACGCGGGCGCCACTTCCAAGATGCGTTCCACGTCAGCGCGCAGCCTGAGCTTGTTCTCGCACGACCAAGGCAGCGCGTTGATCACCTCATCAATGTGCCCCATTGCCGAGCGCTCACATGGTCGCGCCATGGCGACGAGCGGCGCAGCGAGAACGAAACCCCACGACGTGCGAACCGCCCTGCAGGGGGAAGCAGCACATCCAGAGACGCAGCCAAAGCCATCATGGCTACGGAATCGCCATGCCACTACAGCACGAAGACGCCGACTGTGCGAATCCCCGGAAAAACATAGGCATGTAGCCCCTGACACTTACAACAGAATGGCACGCGCATCAACTAGCATTAAATGCCCTCTCGAGGTTCACTCTTCTGAGAATACATTGGAATATTGGAATACAGGCGGCCTGTAGAGCGTGGGTGGCACCCGAGAACTCGTTGTGAATATCCGACGACGCAGCGTGCCGGAGCCTCCACCCTTCCGAAACGATTGCAATGTATGGTCCCTCTGAGCGCCTCAACAATCAACAATTCAGACATATGCTCACTGCGACTGCTGAACTAGAAGCTAATGTACACATGAAGTAGGAAGCCAGACGAAGTAGGTTGGTCTCGGCCCATCCACCTAGAAAACCTGAAAATGAATGTCCGACGTCGAAGCAGAACCTCCACCCCCTCCAAAACAATTGCAATGTACAACCCCTCTCATCACCTTTACACCATCACAAGTCAGCATATGCCCACTACGAGTCCTGAGCTAGTGCACACATGATGTGGGAAGCCAGATGAAGTAGGTTGGTCTCAGCCCACACACATAAAACTTCGAATAATGAATATCCGACGTCGCAGCGGAACCGCAACCCCTCCAAATTACTTCCAACCTCACCAATCAAGCATATCCTCACTGCGAGTGCAGAACACACCCCTCTCCTTCGAGGCGCCACTAAAACGAGCGCGTGCTGGCGCGATGAAAAAAAACACCCCTCCTGAGGCAGCGGAGCGAGCAAGCTTCCCGCACCTTCCTCGTGGCCGTGGCCCTGGCCCTGCCTCCCCATAATCCTCTCTCGCCGCGCCCTCGGCGCTCCGCTCGCCCGTCTCACACCGCATGGCGCATCTGCTGCGCCAAAAGAAACCCTGCTTCCCGAACGCCTGATACCTTCCGCCTCCTGCCGCCCCATCCTTACTCATCGTGCCTTTCCCTAGTCCCTCATACCCTCTCCTACTCCTCTTACCTCTTCCTGCCTCCTGGGCTCTTGCCCTCTCGTTCATCCTCGCTTGCCGAGGCGACCGAAACACCGCACATGAGCAAAGCCATCCTCTCTCCTCCTTCCCTCCTCCTTCGAACTCTTCTCCTCCCCCCTTCCCTGTGGTTACCCTCCGTGCGGTGCAGCAGAAGCGTCGTAGCTCTGAGGGCGCAGGAGGTCCACAGAGACCCCTGCTCGGATTAGAACTCGCCGGAGCGACTCCTATGGGAGGGGATTCCACTGGGAACTCGAAGAGACTAAAAGGACTGACAGAAACTAAAAGGGACTAAAAGGAACTACAAGGGACTCAAAGGGACTGAAGAGCTTAAAGGCTGCGATCGTACAGAAGGGACGGAAAGGACTGAAAGGGACCAAAAGGGTCTCAAGGGACTAAAAGGGACTCAAAGGGACTGAAGAGCTTAAAGGCTGAAATCGTACAGAAGGGACGGAAAGGACTGAAAGGGACTAAAAGGGTCTCAAGGGACTAAAGGGACTAAAAGGGACTAAAGGGACTAAAGGGGACTAAAAGGGACTCAAAGGGACTAGAAGGGACTAAGAGAGACCAAAAGGGAGCACATGGCACGAAAGAGACTGAAAGCAGCTAAAAGGCGACAATCGTACTGAAGAGACGGAGGGGAACTGAAAGGGACTAAAAGGGACTAACAGAGACCAAAGGGACTGATAGAACCAAAGGGAACTAAAAGAGAGTAAAAACAAAAGTAAAAGAGACAAAAAGACACCGGAGGGCGTCAAAGGAGCTAAAACGCTACCATTATACTGAACGGACGGAAAGGGACTGAAAAAGACGAAAAGCGACAAAAAGGGACTAGATGGACTACAAAATACTAAAAGGGACTAAAAGGGACTAACAGGCACTACAGGACTTGAAAGGAGCTTAAAGGCTACAATCCTACTGAAGGGACGGAAAGGGACTCAAAGGTACGAAAAGAGACTAAAGGGATAACAAGAAACTCAAAGGGACTAAGAGGGACCAAAAGGGATTACATGGTACGAAAGAGACTGAAAGGAGCTAAAAGGCGACAATCGTACTGAAGAGACGGAAGGAGACTGAAAGGGACTACAAGGGACGAAGAAAGACTAAAGGGACGAAGCGAACCAAAAGGAACTAAAAGGGACTAACAAGAAAGTAAAAGGGACAAAAAGACACCGAAGGCCTCAAAGGAGCCAAAAGGCTACCATTATACTGAAGGGACGGTAAGGGATTGACAGGGACTAGAAGCGACTAAAAGGGACTGAACGAACTACAAAAGACTACAAGGAACGAAAAGGGACTACAAGGGACTAAGAGGCACTACAGGGATTGAAATGAGCTTGAAGGCTACAACCCTTCTGAAAAGACGGAAGGAAACTGAATGGCACTAAAAGGGACTAAAGGGACTAAAAGGGAGTCAATAAAACTACAAGCGAATAAGAGGAACCAAAAGGGACTACAAGGCACGAAAGAAACTGAAAGGCTACAATCATACTGAAGGAGCGGAAAGGGATTCAAAGGGACTACAAGGAACTAAAAGGGACTACAGGGACTAAAAGAGACTCAGAGGGACTATAAGAAACTGAAAGGAAGTGAACCGAAGACAACGAACTCGAAGGCTGCACAAGAGCGAAAGAGACATACGAGAGACTGGAGCAACCTAAAACTATGAAGAAGGGACTGAACCAACAAAAAAAGACTAACGGGAATCAGACCGACGGAAGACGGAAAAGGATAACAGGGCGGCGGCGGCAGCGACGACGACGACGTCCACGCTGACGGCGACGACGACGACGACGACCGCAGCAGCGCCGAAGCCGAGGATGGCAGCGGCGGCGGAGCCGGCTACGCCGACGCCGACGACGACGACGACGACGACGACGCCGCCGCCGACGACGACGACGACGAACGGCGTCGGCGACAGCGATGGCGACGACGACTTCGGCCGAAATCCGCTCGAAATAAATTCCCGGATCTCTCTCGGGGTCCCTCCCGACGCAGTTGCTTACCCCAGATCGATCTGCAGCGACCCCGAGACCCGAAAACCGCCCCCGGAGGCCGAAAACGCGGAAAATCTCCCCGATCCCTGAAGATCGAGAATCGAAGTTCGACAGATGGCCACGTCCTCGATCGCAGTTTTTCAACCCGGCTCAACTTCCAGAGGCCCCGGGAACCGAAGGCGGCCCCCTGGGGCCGAACCCGCCGAGAAACCTCCCCGAGCCCCGCAATTCGAAAATCAAAGTTTTTCAATACGGGGTCCCCGGTGGTCTCCCGAGGTCCCGAAAACTTCCCCAGGTTTTCCGTCCTGAGTCACATTCTAATGATCCTAGGGCCCGTTGAAGGCTTACGAAGGCCGACAATTGCGAAAACCGATGTACTAGACAAATCCGCCGACCCCTTGGGTCTCATCGGCGTGTCAGATGCTCCCCCTCTCCGTGAACCCCTCCCTGGGGGCCTCGTCTGGTCGATCAGGAGGGGAAGCGCCCGGCCAGCTGGCGTACACGCGCCATGAGACAACACAGAGCTCCACGACGAGCCAAAAAGGCCCCAAGAGGCTCCCGAGCCGGTCCAAGAAGCCCCGAGTCGCCGAAACATCGTTTCAAGACGCCCAGGATGGCCTCCAGACGGCCAAAGATGCTTCCAAGACGTGACCCTACGAGTACGGCGGCGGTGCGCGGCTCGGGCGTACGAGTGGGGCTGCGTACGGCTACTAGTACGACTGCGACGTGCACGGCCGAGCGTACGAGTACGGCTACGTACCGGTACGAGTACGACTGGAGGGGGCGTACGAGTTCGGCGACGTGGGCGTACTAGTACGGCAGCAGAATGCAAGGACGGCCGTACTAGTACAGCTACGTACGCCTACTAATACGGCGGCGGTGTGCCAGGTCGGGCGTACGAGTACGGCTACGTACGGCTACGAGGACGACTGCGACGTGCCCGGCCGAGCGTACGAGTAGGGCCACGTACGCGTACTAGTACGACCGGAGCGGGCGTACTAGTACGGCTACGTAGCCCTACTAGTACGCCTGCGGCGTGCACGGCCGAGCGTACGAGTACGGCTACGTACGGCTACTAGTACGCCTGTGGCGTGCACGGCCGAGCGTACGAGTACGGCTACGTAGGCCTACTAGTACGCCTGCGGCGTGCACGGCCGAGCGTACGAGTACGGCTACGTATGGCTACTAGTACGCCTGCGGCATGCACGGCCGAGCGTACGAGTACGGCTACGTACGGGTACTAGTACGCCTGCGGCGTGCACGGCCGAGCGTACGAGTACGGCTACGTACGGGTACTAGTACGCCTGCGGCCTGCACGGCCGAGCGTACGAGTACGGCTACGTACGGCTACTAGTACGCCTGCGGCATGCACGGCCGAGCGTACGAGTACGGCTACGTACGCCTACTAGTACGCCCCGCGGTCGTACTAGTAGGACGAAGTAGGCCTACTAGTACGACGACCGGGCAAAGCAAGCCTATTCTGTGTCAAGTAACAGGGGAAGCCTTTTCGTCTCGATAGCGATAGTGTGCCTCGCGGTGAGGCACAGTCAAATCTAGGCGGCCGGCCGCTTTGAGCCAAGACGGCCGCGGGCGCACGCTCGCTTCCGCTCCTTAC